CAGAAAAAGGTGGATTAAGATGAGTATGAAAAGAGAGTTGCTGTGAAATGAGAGGGGGACAGAGAGTCATTAGAAAAGATGAGTGCAATACAAAGTGCAGAATAATTAATAATCATGTCTATGTAACTATTACACAGACTACTCTACTGTAGGAGCACATGGGCAGAAAAGAAACTGATGCTATGAGAGAAAGTCTTCTGGGAAGCCCCAATCTATAAAATGGGTAGATTTACCTAGCTCACCGGAGAGACTTAATTGTTTCGTAGGTGCTTTGAAATCCATAGATGAAAACAGCTATGGAAAGGCAAAGCATTTATAAGAATAAGCAGAATATTAGATCCATAGTCAACACGTATTGTTTTAAATGAGGGAGTCAGGCACCTAGCTAATTACTCCTTAGTGCTAATAACATGTAGTAGTTTTGAGAAATCAAAACCCACCAAACACTGCATATTATGATTTGTACTTTCAGATTATTTGCACTTTTACCAGTGTTTTAAGATACATTATTTTTCCCTTATGCTGAAATTCTCCAAACATTATTTCTGACAGTTCTCCAGGTGCAGAGGCCAAGGCACTAATCATCTATGGAAAAGTTTTTTAAATGACCAGTGACAAATGCCAATTGTCAGGCATGTGTGACTATTAGAAAATGGAACAGACACAACACGTCTGTGTCTTGAGCAAAACACGTGGCATTTCTGGGCGATCCAACAAAGTGGAATAATATAAGAACATCAGCACATTTCATGCAGGCTGCTGAGCAGCTGACAGTGCCAGGCATTTATTTAAAGGGTGTACCTTTTACGCAGTAAAACAGGTTTCAAACAGAACATTATGCTCTCATTTCATTGAGTCTGGATGCCTTGGAGTAGACTGAATTCACACCAAACAAAAAGGTTGAGGTACAGATTACAAGGCAAGCAAGTTTCGACTGAAGTCCTTGCACCAATCATTGGATGAATTAAGTAACTATAAACTCCTCGGTTATGAACTAAGTTACTGTAAATATTTTGTTTCTGAAATTTATATTACCAGGCACGTCTAGAGGAGAAAATAGCCAGCAGTGGCATTATTCCTATGAGTCAAAGCAAACAGATGCTTTATAACACGATCTTCAAGGCTTCAGCCTCTCCACGAAAAGCCCTGTGTACATTACAAGGGAGACCATGCTAGCAACCATTAGGTTTAAACATGCTAGTCCGCAAGGTACCCCAACCAATGAGGACAGGTTTTTGTTTCTTTTAAGAACCATCCAAATCAAATCATGCTGTACATTAAGATCCCACCTTACACAAAGCTAAACTGCTCACCTGAAGGAAGTCCATATTATGGCTTTATGGTACAGTTACAATACAATTCTTCAAAAAAACCCTTCCCCGTGTGCAATGGTCTGGGAAACCATGTTGCAACCGTGTTTAAATATAGTTGTCATAGAGTGGATGGACTATAAATGTTTTATTTTAGCTCCTTCCAACAGAAAAAGAATGGACAGGATTCCTTTAGCAGTCCATTATCACTATTCCTTAACTGACCAGATTTTTGGTTCAGTGACACAAAGCAATTCCTCAGCTTCTGTCCCTCTCTACCCGGACAAAGCCTGCTGCAATGTACAGAGTTCTTCGACCTTGGTGACTTGAGGAATGAGAGATTAGGGAGTTGACCAGCCCTGCATCTTGACTACCAAGATGGTCCCAAAAATGATTTTATAGGTGACCTAGAGGGGAAATTTCAGTGCAATGCATGGAGATTGTTACAACACACATTTCTAAGGCACTCCTCACTACAGTACCATGCAACAATATTGCTCCACTAGTATTAATGAAGTCACAAGGCTAAATCCTTGCTCACTACGATGAAAACATACTCTTTGGTGATCCATGAATTTTAGCAGATGAGCTTAAAAACCTAAAACACCTTCCCAGAGAATTTTAGTGCTCACAAACAGGGTGAATTTGGCATCTCAGGGGTCAAACTGTTCAATTTCATCCATGGAATGGAAAAGGCAGAACAGCGGCACCACAAGCTTCCACACATTGCTAGAAAGACTAAAAAAGCAGAAGGCATTCTGTTCATGCTAACAAACTTATTGTCTTCTCACATTCCCATCTCTGTGCATCATTGCCTGCCATTCTCTGTGCATGAAATATCCTTCACATCTCAGTTCACCAGACTACTACTCTCCTTCCCTTCAGATCCCTCTTCAACGCTCACTTCTTCCACAATGCCCACAAGAAGTGAACAACTCTCCCCACAAAAAATTATTAGAAATTACTCTTCCTGTTGGACTTCCTAGTGAATTTATTATTATTTATTTATGTGCATTACACTAACACTTAAGATGTTCCAACCCAGAATGGGGCCCTATTGTGCTAGGTATGCTAGCACCTAATAGGAGACAGTCTCTGCCCTAAAGAGTTTACACAACCTAAACAGAAAAGATAGACAAGAGTGGGAGGGGAAACAAAGGCACGGAGAAATGAAAAGTCCCATAACAGGTCAATGGCAGAGCTAGTAATAGAACCCAGGTCACCCAGCTTCCAGTCCAGTGCCTTTTTCTTTTTCTTCTTCAAGACTGTAAGTATTTTGGAGCAAGGGCTGCCTTCATGTTGTATTTTGTACAGCCCTAGGCACTTGACAAATACCAATAATGTTATGCTGTATACTTTCCTAGAGGAAAATATGAATATTAATGGTATGTTTTTCCTGTTCAATCACAGCAGACATACTGAAGGTCACCATTTGAAGGAACAAGGAAACTGCTTTATTACTAAGGTACTATTTAATAGCCAGTGACATGCAGGACTAAATGGCTGCTGTTGGGTCTGTAATTCTGATCTAATCCTACTACTGACATAAATTATCATGACTAAAATGGTTGTAAAGGATCTCAGATGGAAGGAGTTTGGTTATGTGAGCTGCAATAATGATAGAAAAATCTTCACTTAATTTGTTACAGGTGGGAGTCTGAGTTGCCTTATGTATGCTGACAAATATAATAGTTTTGTATTAGCATTTACCATGGGAAAAACCTGACTCTCAGCTTCTGGCAGAGAGTTATAGCTTCATAGATTCTAGGGCTGGAAGGGACCTACTCTTAAATATCTCCAGAGATGGAGATTCCACAACCTCCCTAGGCAGTTTATTCCAGTGTTTAACCACTCTGATAGTTAGGAACTTTTTCCTAATGTCCAACCTAAATCTCCCTTGCTGCAATTTAAGCCCATTGCTTCTTGTTCTATCCTTAGAGGCTAAGGTGAACAAGTTTTCTCCCTCCTCCTTTTATGACACACTTTTAGATACGTGAAAACTGCTATCATGTCCCCTCTCAGTCTTCTCTTTTCCAAACTAAACAAACCCAGTTCTTTCAGCCTTCCTTCATAAGTCATGTTCTCTAGACCTTTAATCATTCTTGTTGCTCTTCTCTGGACCCTCTCCAATTTCTCCACATCTTTCTTGAAATGTGGCACCCAGAACTGGACACAATACTCCAGTTGAGGCCTAACCAGCGCAGAGTAGAGCGGAAGAATGACTTCTCGAGTCTTGCTCACAACACACCTGTTAATGCATCCCAGAATCACGTTTTCTTTTTTTGCAACAGCATCACACTGTTGACTCATATTTAGCTTGTGGTCCACTATAACCCCTAGATCCCTTTCTGCCGTACTCCTTCCTAGACAGTCTCTTCCCATTCTGTATGTGTGAAACTGATTGTTCCTTCCTAAGTGGAGCACTTTACATTTGTCTTTATTAAACTGCATCCTGTTTATCTCAGACCATTTCTCCAATTTGTCCAGATCATTTTGAATTATGACCCTATCCTCCAAAGCAGTTGCAATCCTTCCCAGTTTGGTATCAAACGTACTACAGTACACCTCTACCCTGATATAACGTGACCCGATACAACACGAATTCGGATATAACACGGTAAAGCAGTACTCCGGGGGGGCGGGGCTGCGCACTCCGGTGGATCAAATCAAGTTCGATATAACGCAGTAAGATTTTTTTGGCTCCCGAGGACAGCATTATATCGGGGTAGAGGTGTATTTGTATTGTGACTGCAATGAAAACACATTCTCTCTTTTACCCTTTACATAGCTTCTAAGGCCTGGTCTACACTACCACTGTAAATCAATCTAAGTTATGTTAGTTAAGTTACGTAAGCAAAGTAACTTAAGTCAACATATCTTAGATCGACTTACAGTGGTGTTCACACTATGCTATGTCGACAGGAGACACTCTCCTGGCAACATAGCTTCCGCCTCTCATTGAGGTGGATTACAGATGTTGATGGGAGAGTGCTCTCCCATCAATTTAGCGTGTCTTCACCAGCCTGGAGCACCCTCTTACACCCCAAACTCCCCATCCCCACCCCAGAACCCGCACTCCCAGCCAGAGCCGTCACCGCCACCCCACAGCCCCGCCCCAGCCCAGAGCCCCCTCCCGCATCCTGAACTCCTCATTTCTGGCCCCACCCCAGAGTCCAAACCCCAACCCCAATTTTGTGAGCATTCATGGCCCGCCCTACAATTTCTATTCCCAGATGTGGCCCTCGGGCCAAAAAGTTTGCCCACTCCTGCTCTAGATTCTTGAAACCTGAATTCTATAGGATGGTTAAAAATATGGAAATGTTAGCACATTATTAAAGTCCAATACTCATGTTTCTACAAAATATAGTAAGTTTTTTCCCTATTAAATTCTACAGGATTTTTTTTCCATAAGAGGCAGCAGACTTTTAAAAATTCAACTGTGGATCTTTTTGCCAGGTCACTGAATATGTCACCTTTGCACTATAGCCAGCTCGTGGAGTCTGGACCATCTGCAACATCCTTGGCATGAGATTATTTTCTCTGTTAATTATATTTAAAAAAAAATCTGCTTCCCATCAGAATTAGAACAAACTCACTTTGTTCTTATATTTGTATCTTTTTCTTAAACTGGGATATTACTGACAGTCTAAATTAGCTGGATGAATTTGAGAAGTTCTCTTACTGCATTACCTTTTGTTAGGTTCTAGATTTTCCACTATACAGTGGGTTTGCTGTGTAGTTACAGTGATCCTCTGTGTTCCATTAGATGTTCCATTTACAGTTGATAAAACCACATAGTCTGAAAAGTTAAAAGAAACAGAAATTTTCCCTTTAATAAAAGCTCTAATTCCTCTATATTTTTCATTCCTCTCTTTTTTCTTGTCTGATTTCCTCTTTTGTGTGGATTTCCCATGTTATCGTCTTATAGGTCATAATGGTATCCCATATGAACTATTCTTTGTTTATAACCCGAGCCTATTAAAAAAGACGGTTACTTACCTTCTTGTAATTATTGTTCTTCAAGAGGTGTTGTTCACGTCCATTCCAATTAGGTGCGTGCGCACTGTGTGCACGGTCGTCATAAACTTTTTCCCTTAGCAGCTCCCATCGGGTTGGCCAGGGAGACCCCTGGAGTGGCACACTGTTGGTGCTCAATATATGACCCTGCCAACCCAACCCCCCTTTGGTTCCTTGTTGCCGGCTACTCTGACAGTGGAGAAGGAGGGTGGGTATTGGAATGAAGGTGAACAACACATCTCGAAGAACAACAGTTACAAGAAGGTGAGTAACCATCTTTTCTTCTTCGAGTGATTGTTCACATTGATTCTAATTAGGTGACTCCCAAGCTCTCCCACAGGGGTGGGGTCGGAGTTAAGGAATCACTGACTGGAGCACTGCTATACTGAGAGCTGCATCGTCTATAGCATGCTGTGTGATGGCATAGTGGGTGGCAAAGGGATGCACCAAGGACCAGGTCACCGCTCTGCAGATCTCTTGGATGGGCACCTGGGCCAGGAAAGCTGTGGAAGAGGCCTGGGCTCTTCTCGAGTTATAGCCGGGGCTGGGACCTTGGCGAGGTCACAGCGGGTACGGATACAGTCCGTAATCCAGGAAGAAATGTGCTGTGAGGAGACCGGAAGTCCCTTCATCCAGTCCGACACCACTACAAACAGCTGGTTTGACTTTCTGAAAGGCTTTGTGCGTTCAATGTAGAACACTAGCGCCCTCCGCGCATCTAATGAGTGAAACCTCTGCTCCTGTGCGTTGGCATATGGCTTGGGGTAGAAAACAGGTAGAAAAATGTCTGGCTGAGGTGGAGTTGGGATACGACCTTGGGCAGGAAAGCTGGGTGCGGCCTGAGCTGTACCTTACCCTTGTGGAAGACCGTATTGGGGGGGGGGGGGTCGGAAATTAGTGCTTTTAGTTCCGACACCCTCCTGGCCGATGTGATGGCAACCAGAAAGGCTACCTTCCACGAGAGATACAAAAGGGAACATGTAGCGAGCAGCTCGACTGGGGCTCCCATCAGCCTAGCTAGGACCAGATTGAGGTCCCAGGTCGGTACCGGTGGGCAAGACTGAGGGTATAGCCATTCCATGCCCTTAAGGAAACAGCCCACCAGAGGATTGGCAAAGACTGAACACCCTAACTCTCCAGGGTGGAATGCTGAGATGGCCACGAAGTGCACCCTGATGAATGATCCAGCCAGGCCTAGCTGCTTTAGGTGCAGTAGATAGTCCAGGATGAATGGTATAGATGCCTGAAGTGGAGATACTCGACTGCGATTACAGCAGCACGAGAACCATTTCCATTTGGCCAGGTAGGTGGCCCTGGTGGAAGGTTTCCTGCTATCAAGGAGTACCTCCCTCACCAATTCGGTGCACTGGAGCGCCCTCGTGTTTAATCATGAAGCTTCTAGGCCGTGAGATGGAGGGACTGGAGGTCTGGGTGAAGCAGTCAGCCATGGTCCTGTGTAATCAGATCGGGAAGGAGCAGCAGGGCTATGGGGGTGCTCACTGACAGCTCCAGAAGTGTTATGTACCAATGTTAGCGTGGCCATGCTGGAGCGAGCAGAATTACCTTTGCCATGTCCCTGCGGATATTGAGGAGAACCTTGTGGACAAGTGGTATCAGAGGAAAGGCATACAGTAGATGGTTCCCCCAGTGCCTTATGAACGCATCCAAGACTGATCCCGGGCTGTGTTTTTGGAAGGAGCAAAATGCTGGACACTTTCCGTTGCTCCTGGTGGCACCTTTGGAAGATGGAGTGGATGATGTCCTTCCGGATGGACCACTCATGACTGCAGAACAACCTGCTGAGGTGGTCCGCAAGCTTGTTGCGTGCACCCAAGAGATAGGACGCCTCCAGGTGAATGGAGAGGGCTATACAAAACTCCCACAGGTGGACAGCCTCCTGACAGAAAGGGGAGGAGCAGGCTTCACCCTGCTTATTTATGTAAAACATGGCGGTGGTGTTGTCGGTCAGCCCACCACGCACTGACCTTGCAATATGGTATGGAAGGTCTGGCAGGCTGGTCTCACCACGCTGAGTTCCTTCATATTGATGTGGAGCAGGATCTTGGCCTGCGATCACATGCCCTGAGTCTGTAGGTCTCCTAGGTGTGCCCCTCAACCAAGGTCTGACATGTTCGATACTAAGGTCATGGATGGTTGAGGGGTAGTGAATAGGACTCCTTCGCAGACCACGCGAGGGTCCAACCACCATCCTGGCGTGTCTAGGACTCGTGACAGTACTGTTACTACCGAGTCTAGACTGTCTCAACCCAGGTGATAACCTGAAGTGAGCCACGCCTGGCATGCCTCATGACATAGCTGCGTGTCCCAAGAGGCTGAGGCATGTCGTCGCAGTGGTGGGGGAGTATTGTCTGAGCATCTGAATGACGTGTGACAGTGTTTGGAATCTGGGCTCTGGCAGGATGGCTCTTGCCTGAACAGGGTCTAGCACTGCCTCAATGAATTCTATTTGGGGGTGGAGGGGAGGGGGTGACAATGTCGATTTGTCTCTGGAAGGTCTGTCTGAATAACTGGACCTGGACTGGACTCCACCTGCTCCCTGGAGCGCCCTCGCAGAAGCCAGTCGTCTAAGTAGGGGTACACTTGCACCTGTCTCTTTCGGAGAAAAGCGGCGACCACTGACATACACTTGGTGAACACCCGGGGGGCTGTTGATAACCCGAATGGGAGCACCATGAACTGATAATGTATGTGGTTGACAACGAACCTCCGGAAACGTCTTTGGGCCAGCCAAATGGCTATATGAAAGTATGCATCTTTCGTGTCGAGGGCAGCGTACCAGGCCCCCGGATCCAGAGAAGGAATAATTGTGCTCAGGGAGACTATGCAGAACTTCAACTTCACCATGAACTGATTGAGTCCTTGCAGGTCCAGGATGGGTCTGAGACCCCCCTTTGGCCTTGGAGATTAGGAAGTATCGGGAATAGAATCCTTGTCCCTTAGCTCCTGAGGAACCTTCTCCACCGCTCCCATGGCGAGGAGTGCCTGCACCTCCTGGATAAGTTGTTGCTCATGAGAGGGGTCCCTGAAGAGGGACGAGGAAGTGGGGTGGGAGGGAGGGGAGGAGCAGAATTGGAGAGAAAATCCCACTTCGACTGTATGAAGAACCCAGCGGTCCGACATTATTTGGGACCACGCATGGTAGAAGTGGGATAGACGGTTCAAAAAACGGGGGGAAGGATCCGTAATTGTGGCTGGTACGCTGCCCTCGGGCATCTCTCCAAAACCCTTGCTTGGGTCCCAACAATGGATTGGTTGGGCCCTGCCCTTGGCCTGTGGGAGGGTTGGAAGGCCTATTCCTGGAATTCCTGCCCCTACGGCGGTATGTATCCTGCCTCGGGTGGGGTTGGTATTGCTTCTGCTGCTGCACTGGCTGAGGCTTGAAGGGCTTTCTCTGGGTAGCAGGTGTGTGCATCCCCAGAGATTTCATCATTGCCCTGGAATCCTTAAGGCTGTAAAGTCTTGCATCTGTCTGGTCCGTGAACAGCCCTGCACCCTCAAAGGGAAGGTCCTGCCGGGTCTGCTGAACTTTCGGTGGGAGCCCAGACACTTGGAGCCAAACTGTTCTCCTCATGACCACCTCCGAGGTGATGGTACGTGCAGTGAAGTCGGCCGAGTTGAGCGAGGCCTGCAGAGATGTCCTGGCAACTGCCTTCCCCTCCTCAACCAGAGCCGAGAACTCAGCTTTTGACTCAGTGGTGAGTAACTCCTTATATTTTGACGTAGAGTCCCAGGAGTTAAAATTATACCTGCTGAGGATAGCTTGCTGGTTAGCTATTCTCAGCTGTAGACCCCTGCAGCATAAACCTTCCTGCCAAAGAAGTCCATCCATTTGGCCGCTTTGGTCTTGGGAGCCGATGCCTGTTGTTCCTGACGCTCCTTCTCATTCACCATAGAGACTACCAGGAAGCAAGGGTATGGGTGGGAGAACAAGAATCCATAGTCCTTAGAGGGAACAAAATATTTTCTTTCCACACCCCTGGCGGTGGGTGGAATGGAGGCTGGAGTCTTCCATAGAGCATTATAATTGTTGCCAATAGTCTTAATTACTGGCAACGCCACTCTGGAAGGACCCTCCGGAGTAAGAATGTCCACCACCAGGTCCTCTGACTCAATGACTTCCTCCGCCTGCAGGCCCATATTATGGGCGATGCGGCAGAGTAGGTCCTCGTGGGCCCTGTGGTCAATGGGTGGAGGACCTGAAGCTGACGCCCCAGCCACCGCCTCATCAGGCGAAGACGAAGAGGAGGCCAGTGGTGGCACAGGGTCGTCATGGACCACCATGTGCTCAGGTTGGTCCTGGGTAGCATTGGTGTCAAGTGGTGCTAGGTGGTCCAATGGGACCTGGGATGTGGGTGGATCTGGGGCCGTTTCCGTTGTGTCCTCTGTAGCACGTGGGGGTGGTCTGGATAATGCTGCCTCTGTAGTACGAGGGGTGGTTCTGTCTGCAGGTGACTATGCCTGGTGATGCCCCAATGTAACGGACCTAGAAACCCTGGAAGGGGTACCCTGGGCCTGATGGTAAGCCCAGGGGGTCCAGAAGGGCCCTTGTGCAGTAGGTGGCCACTGTGGTTGCCAGGACGAAGCCTCCCGTGCTTGTCCGACCTACGCCTATTGCACCGTGAATAGTAGGAGCCGGTCTCAGAATCCGAGGATCCAGAGGGTGACAACCACAGCGGTACCGAGGATCCCTGCGCCGGCGGTCGGTGCCAAGAAGAGGAAGTCGGGGATGGGTGCTGCGACGACCGTGTAGATGATTGGCAT